TTATATAATATTTACTAGAAATTTTATAGGAATTAATATTCTACGTCAGCAATACACTTTATATTGTAAAGCGGTGCAAAAAAATGTAATAAAAAAATTGCGAACTTTGCGCTCCAGGCAAAAGATGTTATTTTCCACCCTCTTTTTTCCCGTTTCCGCCTCTGCCGTTCTCTCCAACTCTGACAGGCACCGTAAAACATAAAATTATCTACCATTGCTTCGTCAAGAATGGAAATCAGATCGCACGTTCTTTCGAGCTCCGCTAAATGCAAATCGCCTTGCTTCTTTATGCAACTCATAATGACGGAACATATTTTTTTTTTGCTCTTGGCATTAATGTTTATTGGTTCATCTCGATGGGCGGGGATTTATTAGAAGCTCATTGGAATATTTTTTTAAGTCGCGCAGAGTGAATTCTACATTTCGAGAGTGAATTATTCATATATTGAGAATAATTATCCATCGCCTTATTTAGTGACGATAAACGGCCCGATCACACTTCTCCGAAATTATTTATCTGTATTCCTGAAACATGCAACTCGGCTTTCTTTAATTCACAATTCAAATCGCACTTTCCTCAATCAGAAATTCGAAAACTCAATCAATATCTTTTAATTATTTTGATTTAATTATAACATTATTTTTTTCATTACTTAAAGAAAGGATAATATTTTACAAATCAATTTTCAAATGCATTTCAATATAAGGAAATATCCTTGTATTGAAAATGCATTGGATTAAACAATGTGTCAATTGTTTCTTTCATAAATTTTAAGAGGGTTGTACATTTACGTGTAAAATAAATAGTCTACATTAAGTGTAAACAAGTGTAAGCTATGTAAACTATGTATAAAATGTCATCCATGTAAACTATAACTTATGGATCATAGAAGATTCATTCATTTCATTTATATATAGCATATTTTATTCAGATAAATTTATATAAATTTTGTTATTAAAAAATATATAGCCTGTTACCAAGCAATATGTATACCAATATCTGGAAATGTAGGAAATAACAAACAACGATATACAACTGTTGATTATATTTTACTCTTTGCTTTTATCTACAGATGTTGGCTGTTATAGCCGAGGCTCTTTATCCACTAAGCAAATGCCATCACATCATAATCAAACAAACAAGATAAATAAAATAATAAAAAATATAATTATAATAAAATAAAATAAAATTATAAAAAATAAATAGTAAATTAATAGTTTAAAAAATGATACAACAATATCATTGATTATTTACATCACATATTGTTTTACACAGCATCAATAAATGGCTTTTAACATTCAACAGCGACATCTTGCTGTCTTTTTCAGCTCCTCTCGAGATCTTGCAAGCGTGTCAAATTGTGTGGTGCGTGCGTACGCACGTGCGTGGTGTGTGTGTTTTAAGTGTAGTGTATGTGACGCAATACCGTACATTTAAAATCCAGTTGCATCAATGTCAGCGATGCCAGCAAAATTTTGGATCCCTCCGAACAACTATCAATTTAAACTTCTTTAAAAAGACTTACATAGATTATCTGTTTTTTTTTGTTTTCATTAATTTTGCTACTGTTAAATAAATTAGATAATTTTCTGTAATATCAAAACTAGTTTTATTAAAATTCAAGTTGAATCGAGGAAAAATTGGATCGTGCTTTCCAGACGCCTAAAATAATTTACTTGGCTAAGTTCCAAAGATTGATCGCAAAATTGAGATAAAATACAAAATCGTTCGCAGAGTTCGCACATACATTGATCCGTTCTATTATTTCCGATAAATAGACAAAATTGTGCCACATGTGACACAGCACTGAAAAAAGATTAGGGCCGGCTGAAGGTACCGCGGAGCCTGCGGTAAAGAACCAGTGTCATCGTATAGATTTAACAAGCAGGAACGCGCGAAAATAATTTTACTCGTCTAGGAAAGTGCATTTTTTCGCACGTTTTGCATTTAAAACGAGACTAAAATATATGCAAATGTTGAAAAGAGAAAGAGCAAAATTGTATCGAGAACAATAAAAATCCGATTCAGAGAAATGAGAATCGAAGGAAAACGGCGAAACTTTGAACGATAGAGTCCCTCCCTGGCGGAGAAAGATGATTCGTGACACAGCGCGCTCAGCCAGCGGTTGCCATGACGACCGGCGATCATCTTCCCACCACCATCCACTACTTCATCGTAACCCGCCACCGCTAGCACCACCATCGCCCACCACCACCGTGGTCAACGAAGAGCAGCGAAGAGGAGCAGGAGCAGGTTCCCTCCACGTCTCCACCTCAGTAACTCCTCGCAGTCGCTCGCAGTCGGTTCGCTCGTGTCGACGGGGGTTGTCGTGCGCGCGCGCGCGCGTGTTTCGAGGCACGCGCATCTCTGTGTGCATTTGTGCGCGTGTGTGTGTGTGTGTGTGTATGTGTATATGTATGCGTGTGTCGTGTGCGCGCGTCGTCGTCGCACCACCTACATGTTTCGGTCGCGTCGTCGACGTCGTCTCGGCTCGCGAGATCTCGTAAGCGAGTAAACGGCGTCCCGAAGCTCCCGAGGCGGATCCTGCGGGGGAAACGCGAAAACGAGACGCACGTTCGGCCGCAGGCGACGCCGAATTCTCCCCCGTCGCTCCGACCCCGGTTACTCCCTCACGTTCAATAATGAGGGACATGGCAGGTAAGATCGCCGAGTTGAAGTTCGAGGCACCCCTCGCGCGCTTCGAGGAGGAGGACACCGCCAGCCTGAAGAACATGAACCTCCTGACAGGTGCGAAAAAAATCGCCATTTATCCACCGTTTCGGTATCGTTCGAGCAACGCTCATCTTGTGCTCCGTGCTCGTCTCGCTCGTCGCACGTGAGACATCGAGATCCTTCCGAAATTAGCGACAAGCGGACGGAAATGCGACGCGAGACGCGGCTGATGTTATTCCCGCGGTACGAATCGATCCCGCGACGGATATCGCGAGCCATGTAAATTCCGCATGCGGAATCGATTCCTTAAATCGCGCTGCGGCAACGCCGAAAACCATCGAAGGAGAAATTTTGATGATCGCTCACAGCGAGAAACATCGCCCGCGGCGGCTACGCGACAATGATGTAATTCCATACAAGGTGTTCCCACAACTCGCGACCTGAATTTTCATTCTCCGAACAGTTCTCTCTTTGTCGTGGGAGTGGAATCGATTTCTCGATTACCACGAGAGTAGATTAGAAAAGGGAAGAAATACACGCGCGACCTCGAACGCGTTCTTTCTCGGAGGGATCGACAGGTGTTACGAGATGTTACGACAACTCTGCGCAATGGAGTCCTCCAATCATGGTTGGATCTGGCCCCTCCCCCTCCCCCCCCGCTTTTGGCGCCCACTTTTGGTGCTCGAGGGCATTTTATATCGGGCCAAGTGAAATGGAAAAAACGAAAAAGCCAGATTTACTCGACTCGGGCCGGTCGACCGTGATCCTCACTCCGTATTTATTTTCGTCGTTCGGTCGCGTCGGCGTGAGATCGTCGCCGGTTAACTTCGCAGTTCGGGATTCCCTCGTATTCATCCGAACGGCTGTGTCTGGAATACAACGACATACGTTTCGAGCCCACAACCGCTATATTTCTCCGTCGACACCCACGATTCTTCGCCGCGACGAGGCCAATTCCAGCGAGGCCATTAATTCTCGCGGCGATAATAACCGACTCTTTCTCTGTCTTCCAGATCGTAAGGAGAGTAGACACGGTCATCCCCTTTAGACTCTAAAAAGATAACGTAGTATCCGTCGAGCCTTTAATCAACGGTCACGCTTTAGCCGCTTTGTCTCTTCCGTGTAATTTCGTTTCTGCGTGATTAGACGAGCGTGCGAATTAGAGATCACGTTTCGCGGATCTTTCGAAACGTTGCTCCACGAGATATTCTGCGTCGCAGAATCGGAGCTGGCACGGGAAGAAACGATCGAGGGGATGAGTAGGTATATTTTTATTGGAGCGATGACGAACGCGGTGTTCGTCACATCCGATAACGCTCGATATCGCGACGCGAGGTCGTCGGCGACCTCGGTTCATCTTTGCGCTCCGTCAGTATCAAAGCGTAGCGTAGCGTCAAGGGGGGGATTAAATCCAGATTGGAGAAACAAACAATTCGCAGCATCAACCGACGTGCCAAAGAGCGACGTACGAGTTAAAGAAGATTGCCAAGAGCATATTTTGAGAGAAAATATTTTGTCTCCTCTTTCTCTCTCTCTCTCTCTCTCTCTCTTTCTCGAGACCTGTAGTCGACATGTTCTCAAATTCGCGTAATTAAAACGAGATTTCCTTGAACGCTTCTCTCTCGTCTCGTATTTGCACCTCCTAATCGTCCTCTTGATTCCGCAGAACAATTGCTGGACGCCAGTCTGGATGCGAGTTTCGGCGAGAATTGCAACGCGAACGAGCCACCTACGACACACGAGAATGGCACCGACATCCTTCAGGAAGGAACGTTCAGCCCATTCAGCGGCAGCCTCGAGGACCTCGTCAATACCTTCGACGAAAAGATCACGTCCTGCTTCCGCGATTACGGCACCGATGTGGAATCGCTGGCTCCGGTGCAGGTCCGAACGCAAGAGGAGATCATGAACGAGTGCCAGTAAGTCGTTCACCGCGCGATAATGACAATAATCATCCCAATGATCTCGAAGCATCCATTGAATGAAGGGGATTTATTCTCGCGCACGTTACATACGATGATATCACTTTTATATAATAATTCCTAACAACGGCTTCCGACATCGTTAAAAATCACCTCAACATCGCGTCAACGAAAACAGCAGTTGACCTCATTGACGTAATTACTTTAATTGACTGCAATTAACTGTATTTGCTGCGGCTGCGGCTGCGGAGTTTCGTGCCTGCGACTGGTGCACGCGAATTTTTTTTTGGTTTTAACGAGAGACCTCGGTACTTACCAAGTATATACCGGTTTCATTGCGGATCGACGGAAAATAAATCACGTGTCGACGACGATGTAGGTACACGCACGTCTGAAAATTGCCAGGTAAACGCGCGCGTATTAATAAATCGACGTTTACGTTTTGCGGACTCGCGCGGTTCCGTTTCTTCAGCTCCGTTCGAAAGTGACGATTGCCGCCGCGGAAATAATCACTTATCGCATTACCGTTAACCCGTTTACTCGTCGTAACACGCATACGTAATGCGCAATAACGGAGGGTATTCCCATCCACGCGGAGAGTAGAATGCGGTCCAGTAATCTATCTTGCATCTTGATTATTCCTTGCCAACGACTTGTTCCCCTCCCCCCTCCTCTCTCTCTCTCTCTCTCTCTCTCTATCTCTCTGTCTCTTTCTTTCTCTTCTCTTTCTCTTAAGCGTCAGCAATTTCATTTAATGCTCCGTTTAATGCTGTGCTGCATGTAGTACAAACCCGATTAGGTGCACGGTTTCGCTGCTCATTTATATCGGAGAACAAAGTGGCCTGAGGTAGGAAGAGTTGAATGTAAAAATTTTTAAAACCGTCTTGCTTTCAAATAAAAATGGAATCATAAAAAAGGTCCAGTGTACACGTATCAATTTGTGGATATTAACGCAATGTTTTTGCCTTATTATTCAAAACAACACGTGAAAAACAAAGAAAGGAAAGGTGAAAAATGGTGAATTTCTTCTACTCGCGGCGATACTTGACAGTAATCGATTCCCCGATGGGAGAAGTGTGTCGGCATCGTTAGTAGTACTCTCTACGTGATGTTTATATACGTTGTAGCTTTCTCTCCAAAGTAGCCACAGCGTCGCCGCGTTCTACGCCACAAAAAAACATCTCGAGTATATATGACACATATCGAGTATGAATGCTTCCTCTTACTTTGGTTCTCGAGATCAATCGAAACTATCGTTTACTCGATATTACTTTCTATTCACGAGAATGGTAAATGTTTTGTCAATTAAACACATACAAATAAGTGAAAAAAAAAACAGAACGTAATATAAGTTCTTTTCATGAAGGAATTAAACTAATTAGACGCTTGTCTTAAATTTAGGACATGAAAGCAACTGCAAAGCAGACAAACACTTTGACACTTTTCTTTTACGGCGTTACAAACTCTAAGAAAAATTCGATACTTATATTTGGATCTTAGTGATTGTAATGTCTACTTTTTCTATGATAATACTTAATCTCGTGTCTGACAAATTTCTAGTTAATCTGGTTTATTATTGGTTACATTATGTGGAACGAACGCATATATCATATTTCTAGGTACGACGATATCTTTCAAGACAACCTTGGCAAACATCTCTAATTGAGACGCGCTGACGCAGGCATGACTCGAGCTATCGTGGACTTAACTTCAACTATAGATTCACTCAAGAATATCTGTCGCTTATAATTCGTGGTTTAACCAACGAAAAATTTTCATATTTTCTCAATTTTATCTGTTAAACCTTCATGACATTTACATTTCATCCGGTAGTTTTGTGTTAAATAACAAAATTTTGCGGTTAAGTAGAAAAAAAAGAACAACCAAAAGATATAAATCGAAACGTATAGATAGACAGTTAAATATCCGGAAACACCGTGTGTCGTGCTCGGAGCTCACGAAAAACTTGATGGATTTCTGGCCATTTTGCGGGGTTGCGGTTTCACGCTACGATAGACGATTCCGGCAAATATTTTAGTCGCAGAGTGTAAATTACAGTCGCGACACGCTCACGGACAGAAGGCAAGGCTGCAAGGCACGTTCTAACGAGCACAACCGTGCGGCAGCAGGTGAAACCCAACGAAGCGCGAAATTGTCTCTTCTTCTCTGCGCGCAGCCACGCACAAAGCTGTTAAATTTACATCGGATCATTCGCCTCGTCGTCCGCCGACGTGCACAGGTGCTGTACGATTTTCGATCGGTTCGTTAATTTCTTACATCCCCTTTGTAAGTGCGAGATGATGATGCTTCTGACACGGAGTGCGAGTAGTGTCGCCGAATTCTTTAAATTGTTTCTTGGTTTTTATATTTTTTTTCTGGTTTACCGATGAAAAACATATTGCATTTTTCATTGGAATCGCGAGAAGATTTTGATTGAAATCAGTTTTAAAAGTTTATGATTGACGGAGTTTGGAAGAAGATTCACTTCGAATGGAGAAGTGTACGCAACGTAGAACAGAGAAAAATTTTTGAGGAGGCTGAATAAGAAAAGAGCCGCTTCAACAAAATATGACAGCCGTCAGGTCTCTTTTTCTCTCTTCTTCCCCGAGAGATTCGTCTTTTGCGATTCATGGTTCCTCTGGAACGAGCGATTCAAATGCTACACCATTGATCGGCATCGATTTCCATGCAGCGTTAGTGAAAGGCCGCCCCGGCGTGTGGCGAGGGTGGCATTATCCAAATAGGCACGTTCTCTCCATTCCGGTGACTAATAAGGTCATCGACTCGATTGTGATTGCGACAAAGCCACGGTAGCGATGCGAGTGCACGCGTCCGCGAAACGCTCGCATTCTCCATCGTGCGTTACGCTGTTCGTCGCGATCCAACGCGTTTAAACGCTGCGTTTCCACGTAATTTTTTTAGCCGCACTTTCTAGCGCGAGGCCGAACGCGACGGCCCAAGTAATCGGCCACGTCGGAAATGCGTGTCGGATATTAATATATCTGTTATCCCGATTGCACGTAACACAGATCATCGCGTGCGACCGATACATCAGTCTTTGCCTTTCGAGGAACCAAACCGGTCGAGAACTTACAAAGCAGAGAAAAAAAAATTGACAAAGTTACAAACTAACTAAACGTGTAAATTAAGAAATGGAGAAATGTAAAATTGATTTGTTTTCGCTTTCCGGGAGGCGAGGCTCATGTAGAAGTTGATATTTATTTTCTAGAAACGTGGTTCACAAGATTTATATGCCCTTTTTCTTCTTTTTTACTTGAACTCTGCGTTAGGTTTGTATAGATCTGATATATACGGATACTAGAAAGTAAATTGTTTCCTTTACTTGTGTTACTGTATGTTTTGCAAGTGTTTTGATGAAAACTCACGAAAAACGCGTGGCATGAAAATTTAATCTCTGTTTTGCTCCTTCGTTCGTATCGAGCTACACCACCCTCGAAACAGAGAGCGAACGTCAATATCGGCGCGCACGCGCCTGATAGCGACGACCACATTCATGGTGTGCTACAAGGGTGAATTTATACGCGGAGGCTATAAAGAGAATTTGCCTGATTCAATTAAAGAGTTTATAATTTTTTTAACGTTCTCTCTCTCTCTCTCTTTCGCTTGCGCGGGTTTTGTGGGGAGAGCGAGCGAATTTAAAAGAATCGATAGAAGCCGCTTGCACGAAGTTGTGAAATCTCACTTTTCGAGATTAAAAAGATAATTTTATTGGGCTTTCTTTCTTTCATTCTCTTCTATATTTACTTCTCGCTCGCTGATTCTTGCGAGCGCTCGGAAATTAAAAAGAAACAAATTAGCTCGACAAAGGCTTCGTACGTACCGTGGCAGTATAAAATGTCGGATCTTTTCGATGCGAACAACGATGCGCAGGAGTTAAAAACCACTTTACATTAATCAGAGACTCAAGTGGACTGAGTTGACCTCGATTTATTAACCTACGACATCGGATCGGTCGATCAATGCGCTGACTCTCTCTTTGATATTCATTGCAGTCATTTTTTCATCTTCACGAATTAAGCATGTATTATATGTACACGTACATACGGACTTTGAACAAATAAAATGTTTAAGTCGAAACATTCGGTATCCCTAATACGATACAAATTTCAGATATTTTATTTGCTTGTATATCTCTTTACACAAAAAATTTTTCACAAAAACTCTAAATTACCAATTTATATGTTTTAAATATAAAAAAATATACATATTTTTTTTCTTGAAATAGAAAATTAAAAAATTACAATTTCATTTTCATCCATTGTTAATTTAACAATTTAGCTCGATAAAGAGAGGCAAGGATTCGTGAAGCTCGCGAAATTAACGAAGGTGAAGTATTTTTCAAGCGATTGCGATTTTCTTCATCCATCGATCGCGAGGGCATTACCGGACATTTGAGAAAAAAAGAAATCATTAAGTAGTTATAATAATTGTAGTATTAGTCATTAACTATATTTTGATTCCTAAAGACATTATACTCTGTATGAGTCTGATTTGCTATTTTTGCTGTCGGCTCTCACGAGATCACATTGTTCGCAAATTTGTACGCCGTGAGGAGCGGCTTCGTTCCGGCGATCCGAGCGTTGTTCGCATGAAAAATCACTTCCTTCAGAAGACATGGCACGTCATCACCTAACGTCGTTTTGCTTGTACATGATTAAACGTCTTATCTATGCGGTGCGTACACGTACAATGCGTAACGCAGGAAACGCCCACAGTCCGCAATGATTCACGCGGCGTCCTAGAAAATCTGTCGCTCCCATCAACATCAAGAGGGTGTTCTAAATGTGTCTTAATAGGGATGTGTTCCCACGGGTATTATACGGGAACGATATAAAGGCACGAGGTATTAAAGGACGAGAATTCTCCCCTGAAATGAGAAAGCTGTTTCTTACACTGTTAATTATGTGTAGGATGTCCCAAATGTGTCCTAACACATAATTAATTCCACGTTGTGGAACAACACACGTTGGCCACCATTCAATAATAACGTGGCATTATATCATCCTCGTTGGAACACCTGCATTTATTGATCGCGCATTACACGTCAGGCTCTTGTAATATCTCGTAAACCGTGTCCTTCACGCTAAAATTATTCGACACCTCATACGTTCTCATTAACCTTTAAAGAGAC